GGATTGAAGCTCAACATAAAGAAAAAAAAATTCTTACTACTGGGTCTATTGGCAGCTTCATGATAGATGAATAGAGTAAGATTATTAACAATTTCAGCTTGCTTGAGTTTACAATTAACACTCTTGGAATCAGCAGGCAGGAAATCAAAAGACAAATTGAATTAGGAAAGTTTGTTGTCAGGGACCTCTTCAGAGAGATAGAGTGCAAAGATATCAGTCCAGAGACTAAGGTATGCCTGATCCAAGCCATGGTTCTTTGCAATTACTTACTATGCATCAGAGAGGTGGATAAAGACTAAAGATGACAGAAGAAGAATTGATGCCTTTGAGCTGTGGTGCTGGAGAGAAGTATTTCTTGAACATACTATGGACAACAAGAGAACAAACAGATTTGCCCAAGAGAGGGTGAAGCCAACTTGCTCTCTGAATGCAAAGATTTTGAAGGTCTGTCTCACATATTTTGGTTATGTTACCATGAGGTAACATGAAGGACTGATCAGTCCTTACAGAAGGACTTCATGCTTGGAAGATTGGAGGGATAACTCAGGAGAGGAAGATCCTTTACGAAATGAATTGATATAGTGACTGAGGTAGTAGCTGCAAGTGTGTCAGAGAAGTGAGATTGGCTCAGGATAGGACAGGGTTCAGAGCTATTGTACATAGGGTTGCTATGAGTTACAGGTGACTTGATGGCACATAACAACCACAATGTAATAGAAAACTAAGTGAAGTTTAAAACAAAGGAACGCAATAACTAGACATTGTATAGAACACGTCTTCTGACTTTAAGATACAGTATGAGTTAGAGAAAGAAAAGAGCTATATGGAGCTAGTACACTAATCCTTGATAAGGTAGAAGTAAGTACTTCAACCAGCAAAGGCTATAGAGTGACAAGATGGGAACGGATTTTATAGATGTTAGTGCTTTTAGGAGGATGGTTTGAAATTATTGTAAAAATTAAATATGTAGGTTAAAGATGTAGAGAAAAAAATGGTTTTGGACTTTGAATGATAATTGAAATACTTTTATTGAGGTTCTGTCCACAAATCACTGTCCTTGTAACAGGGCTCCCCCTGGTGGTAAATAGAAACCAACAGTGGGAGTCAGCTACTGCACGTAGTTAAAAGTGTAAGCTAGGAGAGTGGGTATGTGTGCACGCGTGAGCGCGAACACACACACACAAATACATACGTGCATTTTTTTTAAAAAGGCAAATTTAATAAAAAAATGAAGGCAGATAGTCGCTAAGAACCAAGTTGTACCAGAAAGTGGGGCTTCAAACAACAGTTTGAACCTGAGTGCGGTAGCTTCCCTTGAAAATGTCAAGGATTTTATTACACTCATGGATGGAAACATTAGCCAAGAAATCAAATGATGTACCACAATGGATAAATCTGCTGCCAGGGCCCCTTTAAATAAAGGGCTCAAGATCAAGGATATCACTTCTAAGACTTGCTCCTGTGCTAAACTGTGGCATTCTCAATCGCTTTTTTTTTTTTTAAATGGAGTCTGACACCACCACCACTACGCATGTAAAATCTGGATGATGAATAAGGAAGACTGAAGAAGAACTGATGTCTGTAAGTTGGGGTGTTGGTGAAAGGATAATGACTATGATGGGCCATCAATAAACCAAACAACTCTTTTTTGGAGAAAGTGAAGTCAGAGTGCTCTTTAAAAATAGAAATGAGCATAGTGAGATTTTGCAATCCTAAAGGCGACTGGTTTGAGTCTACAAGCTGCTCAGTGGGAGGATTGGTAATTTCCTCTCATGTAATTTACTGGCCCTGAAAACCCTCTGGAGGATTAACTATGAGTCAGTTCTGACTCAATGGCAAACAACAACAACAACAGCAACAACAACAACAACAACTCTGGGCATGTTATCAGGAGGGGCCAGTCAATATCATGCTTATCAAAGCAAAGAGTCAGGAAAAACAGAAGATGACCTTCAAGAAGATAGATTAACACAGTGACTGCAGGAAAAGGTTTAAGCACAAAGTGCCATGGTGAGGCTGCTCTAGGACCCAGCAGTGATTCCTTCAAGTCACAGGTAGTGTCCTTACAAGTTGGAGCTGACTTGATGGCACCTCACAACAACAGCAACGTTGTGGTTACAAATTTTGAAAGAATGTGCATAAAACACTAACTCAATTTTTCTGTAGCAGTTGCAAGTGGTGATAATGATTATTATTTGGGAAGTGGGAAGTTTATGGTGGTCCACTGTGGCCATTTAGGCAATTAGAGTACAGAGCTAAGCAAATTCATGAATATGCTAAAACAAAAGGAGAGAACTGTAGCAAAGTCAGAAGATTGCATAACCCTTGGGGACTCCCAGGGCCAAATAGTGCATCTAGATAAGCAAAGTAGCACCACTGAGAGATTTTTGGCCTTAATGATTCTTCTCTTTTGCCTTGGGCATAACACACACTTGAAGTAAAAAGATGAAATTTCTGAAGCAGGTAGGCTTGAAAAGGCCTAAGTCATCAACCAAAAGGAGATGTTTCAGACACTTTACATTTTGAGTCTTTGGCATGTCCCTGATTAAGAATAAACCTTGCTTGTTATATAAACACACAGTGAGCGTAACCTTTAGCTAAATAATGCAAAGCCAATAGCAATGGAAAGATCTGAGAAGAGTCATAGTGCAATTGTATGTAGTGGATCCCTTTAGAAAATCCCTTAGAAGGCTGGAAAGGTTAGGATGCTGGAAAACTTTAGCTTGTAAACATTACCTCTCAAATTCACAAAAGCCTATTTTTCTCCTGTGAGTGAGCTCTATGTATGCATGTGCATTGGTTATTCTTATCCATCTGTAAGCTTTTGTAAGTTCCCTAATGAAAACAACTGTATTTTCTTGGCTTAATTGCACATTATTGAGTGTTCTGTCTCTAATGCTATAAATGTACAGTAATGAGAAACGGGGCTGTTCAGTAGGGACCACCAGCTCAGCAGGCAAATGGCAATGCAGGCATTTTATTGATGTGCCCAGAAAATAACTTCTTAAAGGTCAGATTATAATAATTTTTTAAAAACCTACCTCATTGCTCCTTACATAGTCTGTATCATAGTGAATATATCAAGAGGATTTGCCTGGATTAGTCATTCAGCACACATTTCATAAGGAAAAAAAAAGATTTTCCTATTGAAATGATTGTCCCTATATCTTCATCTTGTCTCTTGATTTTAAAATTGTTTTGTAGATGGATGAAACTATGGATAACTTTTAATGAACACATAACCACCACAACCTGCAAATGTTAGGACAGGGTGTACAGAATAAACTTGTGCAGACAAGCCTGTATTGGAATGTGGTTTGAGCAGGCCAGCTGTAAAGTGGTGGATATCAGCAAGCACATTAAATGACAGAAAAAAGAGATATCAAAGCCTGTAGCCCCTAGATTGATTCTCTGCAACTTTTCCTCTTCTGTTTTCCATACTTTCAGAGACTATTGGCTTTGCTTTCATCACAGGAGATAACCAAGCTCCTTGTTAAAATGTTATATGTGATATTTTCCTTTGTCCTGAGGTTAGGCTGCATTCTACCCAAGCATGGAAGATTAAGTCAGGCAACATCTTCCCCCTTACTGGGAAGGTCCCCAGCAGTTCTGTGGGTTTGAGGGGTATCTGCTAACTTACAGCCAAGTTCTGCCTTAAAGAGCAAAGAAGTTTGAAACACACACACACACACACACACACACACACACACACACACGGAGGGGTGGGTGGTGGGAGAGAGTTGTTATATACCATTGAGTCAGAACCAACTCATAGCTGACCACTCGGTGGGTTATCACAGACCATAAAGCACATGTGAATAAATTGCTTATCTTTCTTCCTTGGTGAATTTAAAACATGTTCCTTTAATTGGCAACACAACTTCTACCATTAAACAACTGCATCTCTAACTTTATATAGTATCCTGAAAAGTTCCCGAAGGAAAACATAATAAAAATATCCTAAAACAACAATTTACTAGTTTATCATTCAATAAAATGTGATTTTCTATTTGTTTATGAACTGTCTTTAATCATGGTTTCTTTTAAAGTTTATAAAACTTTCATGTTCTCCAAATATGTTTTGTTTTTTGGCATTTTCTGTACTTGGGAATGTTTTTGGCCAAACCACAAAAGGTTTGTGTGTAAGGATTGCAACAATGATATCTATATAGCTATGTAAACATTTTGTGTAAATGTTTTAATCCAGGTGATACCCAAGCAGATGCATCTGAGATAGGCAATGAAAAAATAGTGTGTTCGTGTGTGTCTGTGTGTGTCTGTGTCTGTGTTTCTCTGTGTGTGTGTGTGTGTATGACAAGGAGAGAGAAAGAGAGCGAGAGAGAGCCAGTGAGTTCAAGAGTATAGAAGGGGGTGAGGAGGGGAAGGAATTTGGCTTCTTAAAATTAATATCTAATTATCATTTTGTTCCTTCTCACATATTTTGTGCACATACCCAGGAGGGACATCATGCTAGGAAGGGTAGAGGGACAGCACAGGAGAGGAAGTCCCCAGATGAGATGGCTTGTTAGAGTAACTGGGGCAATGGAGAAAGGCGTATCCGAGTCAGGGAGACTGGCTCAGGATAGGGCAGGTTTCAGAGCTTTTGTACACAGGGTTGCTACGAGTCGCAGGCTTCGACTTATTGGCACATTACAATAGCAACATCATTTTGTTACATTGGTCTTTCTTCTTGGAAATTCTCTGTTAAGGTTACTTCCTTCCTACAGTGTTAGTGTTCTGTTCGGAGCCATTTTTTTTCTTTTTTTTCAGAGCCATTTTTCAATCATAATTAATTGCAATGGATACACATATAACAAGCAAAGCCAGTAGTGTGCTCTTTCCCAGACATTGTTTCTTTACCCTAATATTTGCTAATTGTCTCCAAATATGCGTGCCAGCTATGTATCTGTATGTCTAAGGAACATTCTAAATCAAAACAGTGTAATTTTTTTTTGTCAGCTTTGATTTAGATCATCTTAAGCCACTCAGTGAACTCTTACCTTTCGGTATCCCCAGAACTGGTTCCCCTTCATGCCATGGCAGTCATACAGCGTGACTGGGCTGCTGTTTGAGATTGCATCGAAGCAGAATTTCCGGGTATGCAGTGGCTCACCAGGTCGAATATCTTCTCTCCATCCAAATGTGAAGAGCTAGCAAAGCAACCACAGCAGGAGAAGCACTGTGAATTTCATTTGGAGGAAAGATTTGAGAGTTGGAAAGGTATTTCTTTTTGCAATCTGGAGCTCGTGCTTTGTGATTTATGAGAAAAAAAGCCATCTATGCAGTAACAAAAGAGGTCTTCATAAAGGCATACATAACACTGAAGCAATGACAATGGCACTGTGACTCTGGCTACCAGAAAGATACAAATGACAGTTTCAGAAAAGACTTTGATTTGAGGAGCAGAGAGTGGAATTGGGTGGGGAGAGAACAGACTCCTTAATCAATCTCTACTATTACTGGTGAAACCAAGTTGTTTTTCTGGAGGCAAGGATTTTGAAGCTCGGTCTCACATCCTTTGGGCATGTTGCCAGGAGGCACCAGTCATCATGCTTGGAAAGGTGGAGGGACAACACAAGAAAGAAAGACCCTGGAGAAGATGGATTGACACAATGCCTGGGGCAATAGGGGCAAGTGTGTTGGAAATAGTAAGATTGGCTCAGGATAGGACAAGGTTCAGAGCTCTTGTGTATAGGATCACTATGAGTTGCAGGTGACTCTATGGCACATAACAACAACAACAACAACAAGAACAACAATATTACTTGGAGCTCTGGTGACCTAGGAGTAAGAATCTGCACTGCAATTCCAAAATCAAGTGGTTTTAATCCACCAGCTGCTCTGTAAGAAGGATGGACCGTCTCCTCCCATGCAATTTACTGCCTCTGAAAACCAGCTGGAAGGTCAACTATGGGCTGGTTCTAATTGGATGACACACAACAAGAACAACAACAATATTACAGGAGTAGCTCAGGATAGGGCAAGGTTCAGATCCATTTTTCATAGGTCGCTATGAATCATAATCAACCTGACAATACCTAACAACAGAAACACCTGAATTACTGGATCAAATGCTAAACTGTTAGTCTAGATATGCGACTAAGTGAAACAAAGACAAGGAGCAGAGGTGTGCTGATGCGATCCTGAGACTGAAAATTGGGTTTAAATTAAAGGAGCCCTGGTGCTGAGGAGGATAAGTGTTGAGCCGATAATAAAGTGAGCAGTGATTTGACTCATCTAGCTGCTCTGTCAAGGAGAGCTATCTTTATGCCCATACAGATTTATAACCTAGGAAACACTATTGGGCAGTTATATACTGTCCTGTTGGACTTCTTTTAGTTGGAATCGACACAATGGCAATAGATTTAGGTTTGGTTTGGGAGACTAGAAAAAGTAAACAAATAAGCATTTAATTTGCCTAAGGTTGGTAAAAATTTAGTGTAAAAATATTTGGACCATAATTTATAGTAGAAATATATTCTTTATACCATGAGTCAGAATACAAACACACATAGACCATTCCTCCCACTCACCAAATGAAACCAAGGTGTTGTGAAACGAAATTTATCCTTTCATGGTCCCATCTGGTATACCATCCATTTTCTCTCGTCCTACTTAGCCTGCCTTAACCAATTCCATTCTATATTTAAAAAAAAACCAACCAACCAACTTGTGATGTTGTTGTTATATTCCATTGAGTCACCTGAAACTCATAGAAACCCCCTATGTACAATAGCCCTAAACTCTGATCCATCCTATACCAGTCTTATTGTCTTTGATACACCTACTCCCATTACCCCAGTCACTGAATCAATCCATCTCATCAAGGGTCTTCCTCTCTTACACTGTTTCTCCATCCCTCCTAGCATGACGTCCCTCTCCAAGGACAGGTCTCTCCTTGCAACATGTCCAAAGTATGTCAGACAAAGCTTAAGAATCCTTGTCTTCAAGGAGCAGCCTGTCTCACCCTCTCTGGGACAAACCTGTTTGTTCTCCTTGCAGTCCATGGTATATTAATACTCTTCTCCAGCACCACAGCTAAAAGACGTCAACTCTTTTTCTATCATCCCTAGTCATTGTCCAGCCCTCTGATGCAAAGCAAGTACTTGCAAAGACTATGGCCTGGATCGGGTGCCCCTTAGTCTCCAGACTGACATCATTGCTCATTAGTACTTTGGAGGTCTCTAACAGCAGACTTTCCCAGTGTAATTCGTCTTTTAGTTTCCTGTTTGCTGGTACTAAGGGTGTCAATTGTAAAGCCAAACAAACTAAAGCTGTCAACAATGTCAATCTCTTCACCATCTATCATGATGTTGCCAATTTGCCCAGTGGTGAGAATCTTTGTTTTCTTGATGTTGAGCTTCAATCCATATTGAAGGCTACAGTCCTTGACCTTCTGCAGCCAGCACTTCAGGTCCTCCTCAGTTTCAGCAAGCAGAGTGTGTTATCTGCATAACAGATTGTTGATAAGTCATCCTCCAATCCTGATGTCACATTTCTACTCATAGAGTCCAGCCTCCCAGATAATCTGTTCTGTATAAAGATTGAAAAGGTATGGAGAAAGGAAACATCCCTGGCATACATTCTTCCTGATTTTGGACCATGCAGTGTTTCCTTGCTCTGTTCTGATGACTGCTTCCCGGTCCAAGTAAGATTTCGCATAAGCACAGTCAAGTGTTCTGGGATTCCCATTCTTCTCAGAGTCAACAACAGCTTGTTGTGATCCACAGTCAAATGCCTTTGCATAGTCAATGAAACACAGATAGACAGTCTTCCACGATCCATCTAACCGTAGCTATCATAACCTTAGTACCATGGCCTCTTTTAAACTCAGCCTAATGTATATAAAACTGATTTTACAATGTATTTTTGTTAGTTGCCATACAGTTTCAACTCATAAGGATCCTATCTACAACAGAGCTAAACATTGCCAAGACCTGTACCATCCTTAACATCATTTGTATGTTTGAGCCCATAGTTTGAGCAACTTTTGTCAATATATCTCCTTGAGGGTCTTCCTCATTCTCTTTTATCTTCCACCTTATCAAGCATGGAGTCTTTCTCTAGGGTCTAGTTCCTCCTGATACCTTGTTCAAAAGTATATGCCATAAGGTCTAAATCATCCTCGTTTCTAATGAACATTTTTACTGAAATTTTTCTATGATGGATTTATTCATTCATCTTCAAGTCCATGAACACTATAATTTAATGCATCAATCCTTCTTACCCTTCCTCATTTATTATCTAGTTTCTGAATGAATCTAAGACAGTTGAAAATACCATAATTTGGGTCCAGGCCCATTATAATTCTCAAAGCAATAGTTTTGCTTTACACTTACAAGTGCAATTCCAATACATTATGTTGCTTGATTTCTTGACTGCTGCTTCCAAGGGCATTCATTGTGGATGCAAATAAAAATGAAATCCTTAATACCTTTGGTCTCTCGTCCATTTATTATGATGTTGACTGTTGAGCCACAGGTAAACTCAAAGATTTTTGTTTTCTTTATGTTGAGATGTAATCTATACTGAAATGGAAGCCTTTGAACTCCATTAATAAGTATTTCAAGGCCCCCTCACTTTCAGCAAGCAAGGTTTGGTCATTTGAATTCTTCAGATAGTCCAACTTCTCAGATAATTTGCTAAACATCTGAATCATTATGGTGAAATGATACAGCTTTGGAGCATATCTTTTCCTTCTGTCCTCTCCAAGATGAATCTGTTTGTTTTCCTGGCAGTCCATGGTACATTCAGTACTCTTCTCCAGCACCACAGCTCAAAGGATTCATCTTGGAGAGGATTAAACCAAGCAACTCCTTGGAAGCAAGGATTCTAGGGCTTCGTCTGACATACTTTGGACATGTTGCCAGGAGGGACGGGTCCTTGGAGAGGGACATCATGCTTGGGAGGGTGGAGGGCAGGCACAGGAGGGGAAGACCCTCTCTGAGATGGACTGATTCAGTGACTGGGGTAATCGGGATGGGTGTGTCAGAGGCGGTGCGGTTGGCGCAGGATAGAGCAGAGTTTAGGGCTGTTATACATAGGGTCGCTATGAGTCACAAGCGACTCGACAGCACACAACAACAACAACAACAACAACAATCTTTCATTAAGATTGAATATAATTCTCATAATAGAGCTCAAAGCAGGCCTGGCTTGGGAGGCCAAGCTGAGAATTGCAAAATAAGACAAGCTTCCAAGGCGATTCTATTGATATAGCATAATATTGAGTTGTACCAAGATAATAAGCTTAGCACTAATCTGACTCTCAATATATTTGTTTTAAGGTACTAATCAGGGTAGAAAATACAATTAAAAAACAACAACAACAAACAAATCAGCCAAAATTCCAGGGGCAGCTAACAAAACTTGTCAAGGGGTGAGGAAGCTGAACAAAACTAGCAAGGCATACTTTAAGTGATTTGAAAAAAAATAAGGAACTATCTAAGCCAAATATATGAAAGATAATAGTATGCATAATGATGAATAACTATATTGTATTGCCTTACAAGACAGAACAGAAGAATTTCTTAAATAGAAAGACTAGGTGTAAGCAGGCTAGGTATTTGAAACAGATTTAACAACATAGAGAGAGCTCTGTTGGCCTAGTGGATAGAAAGTTGTGCTACCAAGCCAAAGGTAGGTGATTTTAATCTGCGGCCTCAGGCCTGGTTTTAATTGTTTTTAGTCAAACATTCTTCTAAGTGGTATAGCACTGGTCTGTCCATTTGCTGTACAGAAGTAACTTGTAGTTGTTATGATGCTAAACACTGTGACACTGATGTGTCAAACGCGATAATGGTTACCCATGGTGGGCAGTGTTTGTTGTAATTCCCCCATTACAACAAGCTTGGAAGCAGGAGTGGCATCCACTTCTGAAATAGCTTGCCTCCGGAAACTCTATGAATGTGGAGAAATGATGAAAGTTGTACATGTGTTCAGGTCTTTCATTCATAGGGCCGCTATGAGTCGTCTGCCACTTGACAACACTTAACAACAACAAAAGCGACAACGAGGAGGAGGAAATGTTTAGTCTTTTTCCCTAGAATTTTTAATATGACTTTGTACTGGAGTATTTTTTTGCCTTATTTAAATGTTGACTAGGAAAATGATTTTTCAATCAGAATTCTCTTTCTTCCCTTAGCCTTCC